CAAGCCACAGGTAACAAAGCTTATTTTGAAAGTAGCAGATTTAATTTACGTCAAATATTTGCGGGTGTAAAGAATCTATTATTTTAAGAGGATTCAGTATCATCGGTTCCTATTCAAATTATATTCAACATGCATATCTGATACGGCCAGATGTTTTCATTGAAATACAAAATACATATGACCTTTTTGTAGAAAAATCTGTTTAATATTATCTAAGTCAATTATATGTGGCTGAAAGCTATACAATTTTTTTTTAAGAGGAAAATTTAAATTGTTGATATTTGCATCAAATGAGTTACGAAAGTACTTGACCAATTTAATGTATTAAACATACTTACTTAAAGTTGAGTTAGTTTACGTAGGTTTCTGAAACATTGATGGAAATGTGCTGAGAAGGGAAATTGCATGAAAAATTCGACAGCTTAGTTAGGTCTCGGATGGCTCAATTGCTTAGAGCAGTCGCCGGAGTGCGAAAACTGAGGTGTTGAAGGTCTAAGGGTAGGTTGCACCCACGAAGCAAATACTGTATTATACAATGTTTAGATGACGTCGTAACTGTAATTGTTAACTAGCTCCAGAACAATGAAACTTGGCGTCACAGGCAAAATACTGAAACTTAGCACCCTAGGTAAACATTGGATCTTAACGCTCTAGGCAATATAGTGGAACTTAGCACGCTAGGCAAAACACTGGAACTTAACGCCCAAGGCAAATCACTGGAACTTAGCGCCCTAGGCAAAACACTGGAACTTAGCGCCCTAGACAAAACACTAGACATTAAACTAATTGTAGAAACACCGATTAAATTGTGTAATTTCGCCGACAAAATATGCCCCTTAGGAGCAATAGCTCATCTAAAAAATTTGTATTTAATGAATACCGTGGACATGGACTATATTTTTATTATTCAAGAAATTAAATCAAACATAATCTGCTTGCCATACCATGCCGCTCCCTAAATAGCGCCCTAGGCAGTTGCCTAGTTTGCCTGTATTGATGGGCCGGCCGTACTAATCTATACAAGCTTTGCTGGTTAAAGTTATTATTTTACTAAGCTAAGAAAGAGTGTGGTGAACGCATTCCACAGTCAATGTCATAGTCAGTGTGACAATTTATTAAATTTACATAAACCTTTAATTTGACTGCTATTATAGTGGTATCCAGCATAAAAAGCCGATCGAGCTGCGAATGATCAAGTTCAAAAAATACATAGACTTCTTCATGCTTTTACTAAATAAAAGTTAAGTATTATTTCTGCCATAATTTTTCTCGTTGAGTCAGAAAGGGTAGTCAATTTTCGCGTATTCGCTTAAATTACTTATAACCTAATAAAATTATTATTTAACTATTATATGACTATATATTATTATATGACTATATATTTATTTGTTACAACGTGGTCTTTCACTTATTTAATTAACCAGAAATTTAATTATTTACATAACACATCTATCTTTAGATCCCTATTTGAAGATGTTTCGACAGATTCCTTTGTATATTTAAAGATCTTTTAAGATACAAAAGAAACTGACGTTAATTATCAGTGAATGACTTTATATTATATTACAATAAGGCGGTATATTTAATTACGTAACATTTAAATAAGTAGGTTCAACGTTGAAAATCGCTTTATTTCGCTGTCACAGAAATTCTTTAGGAAGACCCTATTATCTGAGTATTACGATCGTTTAATTAAATGTAATGAATTTTCGCCACGTGTAGCGACGGCGGTTGTCCTTGAGATGTGTTTATAATTAACTTTTAATGTACCTACCCACTTGTTGAAGTATGAGTAATAATTACTGTCCACCTAATTTTTATTCTTGGTTAGATTTCCGCTCGCATTTTGATCTATCTTGTAATAAAATAAATAAATAAATAAATATTGGACAATACACCACATATATTGTTCAGATTCTTAGATGAGTAAAAACCCTCGTATAACGGAGTCTGGGACAACGAATGTCCCACACCATTGAGACACAAGACAATATAGAAAAAAGCGATTTTCTTCGAGAATTGAACTCGGGAGTTCAGAGATGATGAAAGCTTGAAACCGGTATGGAGGTCGTTGATTTTTATACTTTACTAACTGTTTTCCCTTGACTTAGCATGCATAAATTAAAGCTTATGTCAACCCAGTATGATGAAGCTATCTGTTGGTGAAGAATTTTTAACAACAATCCAGTAGTTTCGGAGCCTATCGATGCAAAAAAACAAACAGTTAAATCTTTATAAGTTTTGTACAAATAATTATTTTTAAACTCACGTTTAGGGAAATATTCTTAATGAAAGTGTTTAAACAAAAACACTTTGTCCCTGGTACTCTGAGATGGGACACCAGGGACAAAGTGGATTTTTCATCAAGAATATTTCCCAGTAGCATTGGGAATGCAAAATTTATAAATCACGTTTAGGGGTAGAATTTTTCAAAATTCAGTCAGCTGTAAACCTCTTATTTATAATAACTATTAGTATGGCATAGCTTCATCTAGCTAGTTTGAGCTTCTGTAGATTAATCATTTTTCATCGTCACCAGCCTATTAATATCCCTAATACTAGGGCACGGGTCTTCCCTATACCATGAAGTCGAATCAAGTCGAAAATAAGAATGGGCCATGACATGAACATGCGGGTCCAGTGTGTTTTGGTAGATATCAACAAACGTGGAGAGCCCGAGATAATATTTTTTGGTTATCCATCTTATGACATAGCGAATGTTACTTAACAAACGTTTCGCTGACCGCTATCGAGCTCATAATTGCCTTTTATGTGCAAAATGCAACTATACAATTAATTATTTACTGTATACATAGTTATATAAACTTAGGTTCTTAACACAGAAATAGTTTTTTCTAAGACCAGCAAAAATCCGAACCCGAATTAGAGTTCACTCATGTGTCCGAACCCACTACGTATTACTAAATGTAAATTGGTATTAACATTTCATTTAGCATAAGTGAAGTGAGTTTCGAAATGACATAGGTATAGAATATCTGAGACATTCATATTTGATTGATGTCATATGTGACAAGATTGATTGATACATATCTTTCAATCTTGTTTTGTATTAAAAAAATGGAATCAATAGAATTTCTATAAAAAATTACCCTGAATGAATTCAAACTCGGGTTCGGATTTTTACAGAATAGCTTTGCTGATACACTTATTGGTGAACTAGGTTAGTAATAAGAAACATAAATAAAAAATGGAACAAAGAGCCACATATAATAACTCTACCGCCCGTTTTCACTAAACTTAGGAGTTACCCAAATCTGTCGCCTAAACAAAAACACTTTGTCCCTGGTACTCTGAGATGGGACACCAGGGACAAAGTGGATTTTTCATCAAGAATATTTCCCAGTAGCATTGGGAATGCAAAATTTATAAATCACGTTTAGGGGTAGAATTTTTCAAAATTCAGTCAGCTGTAAACCTCTTATTTATAATAACTATTAGTATGGCATAGCTTCATCTAGCTAGTTTGAGCTTCTGTAGATTAATCATTTTTCATCGTCACCAGCCTATTAATATCCCTAATACTAGGGCACGGGTCTTCCCTATACCATGAAGTCGAATCAAGTCGAAAATAAGAATGGGCCATGACATGAACATGCGGGTCCAGTGTGTTTTGGTAGATATCAACAAACGTGGAGAGCCCGAGATAATATTTTTTGGTTATCCATCTTATGACATAGCGAATGTTACTTAACAAACGTTTCGCTGACCGCTATCGAGCTCATATTTGCCTTTTATGTGCAAAATGCAACTATACAATTAATTATTTACTGTATACATAGTTATATAAACTTAGGTTCTTAACACAGAAATAGTTTTTTCTAAGACCAGCAAAAATCCGAACCCGAATTAGAGTTCACTCAGGTGTCCGAACCCACTACGTATTACTAAATGTAAATTGGTATTAACATTTCATTTAGCATAAGTGAAGTGAGTTTCGAAATGACATAGGTATAGAATATCTGAGACATTCATATTTGATTGATGTCATATGTGACAAGATTGATTGATACATATCTTTCAATCTTGTTTTGTATTAAAAAAAATGGAATCAATAGAATTTCTATAAAAAATTACCCTGAATGAATTCAAACTCGGGTTCGGATTTTTACAGAATAGCTTTGCTGATACACTTATTGGTGAACTAGGTTAGTAATAAGAAACATAAATAAAAAATGGAACAAAGAGCCACATATAATAACTCTACCGCCCGTTTTCACTAAACTTAGGAGTTACCCATATCTGTCGCCTAAATATTTAGGAATCGCCTAAGGTGAAAATGCACTTCACCATTGACTAGGAACCGCCTAACGAAATTAAGCAATGTCTGAAGTTATGATACATTTGCGTGTATGTCATAAATATGTCAAGGAATAAAAGAAAAAATATTTATTTGGAATTAAATTAATATGCTTAGGCGAATCGTAATATTAGGCGTTTCCTAGTTAAGCTATGCCTTGTTCTAGGTTAGTGAAAATGGGTGTACACATAATTCCCCTTGCTGTAACTATAGTTGAAAGATTTATAATTATGATTTACAGTTGTATCCACACCGAAGAAGAGGACACTCCGACCCTTTGTGAATATATCTAATCCACCACCCGAGTCCGCCCGGCTCGTACCTGGCACCAGAATGGAACTCATCTGCGAAGTGATGGGTTACCCAGCGCCTACCGCTCATTGGTTGAAGAACGGAGAGCCTATAGCTGATGTAAGTTAACATATATTACTTAATATAGAATAACTCGGTGGCGTAGTGGATAAGTGCCGTTGCCCGCGATCGTTGTTGTTATTTAACTTTTGCAACGGCCGGTTCCGGGATGGGTGACCGAAAAAATATTATCTCGAGGTATTCCGCGCTTTAGACGGCACTTTAAGCTATTGGTCCCGGCTGCACTTGCAGCCTTTAATACCGTCCAATCCGCATTGGACCAGCATGTAGGGTCATGGCCCATTCTCCTTAACCATCCTTAAGAAAGGTCTGAGTAAAGTTAACCTGTTAATTTTAACCATTAACATTCTTAGGATAACTTTAAAGATACTCTTTCCTGTTGTCATAGATTTTGAAAATAAAGAACATTTTTATGCCCAACCATCCTATTTCGTGTCAGGATCAAAATGATCTTAAAAACAAGAAAATTTAAAGTTCAAGTACCAGGAATTTCCAATAATTTTCCCATACATTTGCCTACTGAAAAATGAAAAATCTATTCGAAACGTTCTTGATTGTCCAGCGATTCCATCTCTTCCTGTCACCAAAAGACTCTTTAAACCCAATTCGAACTCATCTACAAAACGGAATATTATGGAGATTTCATTTTTGTCTCTCTTCTTTCAGTATGATGAAGTGAACGAGATAATAAACATCCAAGCCACTGGCACCGTCAGTCTTGGGAGGTTGACTACCAAAGCGGTGATCAGTTCCGCTTCCAACGGTGACGTCTACACGTGTGTCGGCACCTCAGGACTGAAACGACATCTTGCTTCTACCTCTATATATACTGTCGAAGGTGAGCCATCTACATACAATTATGCACAATTGCACAAAGTTTTTTAACTTAAGGAAATTTTATCCTATTCTATTAAAAAGTCTCGAAGTCAATGTTGAGCTCAATACTGCATGGCACAGAGCTTCAATAAAATGAAACCTCTATTACCTTTTGAAATAGATTACATTGATTGCACATCTAAACAGCGACAGCTCTGCGCTCATTGTCGAGTTCTAGACCGTTTTGTAATGGATTACTACATTTTAATTAGCATTGTCGACAGCTTATGATAATTCATTCATCATAAACTTCAACATTGTTCTGGTATACACCTCTGCTTCTCCGATTTGATCAAGATTCATTAAACATTTCTTATTTATAGATGACGACGAAGGAAACCTGTTCACTCTTCAATCTCTATTCCGCAAGCCTTCGAAGCCAATCATAACAGATTACTACAACGAATTGTTCCAAGATATTGGCTCGAGCGTGGTGCTGCCGTGCCGACACAACAGTAACACCGCCACACAAGTATTTTGGATTGATAACGACGACAAACCTATATTCGGGAACCCTAGAATGAAGGTGAGATATACACTAATCATAAATAACTATAAGAAAATTTTGAGATAATTACGTATTATTACATATTTGGACAGGGAATTTAGGCGCACTATAGTCACGCACTCTAAATAAAATCGGAGTAATGAAGAAGTATCTATTTAAAAAAAGTAGTTCTTACTACTTTCTTCTTCTGCTTCTCGATTTTTCCGTATAATATTTAAGGTTCAACTTATGTTTACGCAAATTTAAGTTATGAAAAAGATTGAAATTATAACCATTTTTATGACTTTCTTACTTTAATATACGTTTGAGAAGTCTTTTAAACTTCCCATATCTGCCATGTTTTATTTTGTTAACAAATACAATAAATAAAAGAACTTAGATGTCCGAAAAATTTTAACTTTAAAGTTGGTGAAATAAATTTGAAAAGTTTCATCAACAGAATTTAGAAAACATAATTTAACAAAAAAATGCCTGTAATTTCTATACCGCAAATACAGCGCTAAGCAAATTGAGTGATGTTTGCTAGCAGTAATTTTGTAGGAGTAATGTTTTTTTTTTTTCTTTTCAGGTGCTACCATCCGGAGATCTCTTGATAACCAACCTTCGCTGGGAAGACATGGGCAATTTCACTTGCACTGTCAAAAACGCATACGGAAAGGAATCCGTCGACACATTTGTATACCCCACTAAGAAACAGGTAAATAATAAATTAAAATAATTTGTCTCCCTTTACTTAAAAAACTACTTTTAATAATAAAAAAAACTACTTAACTTTTACTTAGGTACGTTTATATATTATATTGAATATGAATATTGCGGTTAGTTATCTAAGCAGACGCAGCGAGTATATTTACCTGTTTACCGATTATTGTATTGGGTCACCAATTTACCGAAATGTTATATGGTTTATTTATTAGTATATAGGTTGATATTTAACTTATTGATAAGTTTACTATCTGACTCTATTTATACGAAGGATCGGTAAAATAAATAAACGTGTTCACAGTTATGAGTTTACTTTCAGACTATTCGATGTTGAAGTGCCACTTACAAAATACAAAATATCATAGATAACGTTGCCACAGAGTGGTCGACAAAGATTATAAAACAGATGTGCCACACCTGAAATCATTAAATATAAAAACTATTTAAAAAAAGTTTAATATTTCTCAAAAATTTCCTGGTGTCCAAAGACTCAACCACAAAAAGGTTTTCATACAACACAAAATTTCGATTCTAATATTTCATATTCTTAACACCTTAAACGCCGCTAGCATAGATAAATATTGTAATCTGTCACTAGGAACTTTTTCATTGATTTAAATACTATGAACTACTTAAGGCAGACGTTATAATGTATTATTAGATTTTATGAGTAAAAATTTTTATAATTCAAATTTATGCTATAATTTATAATATCCAACCGGATTTTTATTTTTTATTTTAATTCTTTTATGTGTTTTTCTTCAGTGAATCCACCAACTTGCCGATAAACGAAGAAACCCGCCGATAAAAAACGTGACATAATTTGATGTTCCTATACTATATAAGTTTATTGATAAATAATACTTAACTTATTTTAGAGTTAGGTTTACTACAGACGACTGGAATACTAAATATTTATTTTATTTAGTACTTAAGATGTATATTTCATTTTTAGATATAGATGAATATACGGGCAGCTAATCTCAAAGAGTTGATTTAGTAAAATGTTTCAAATAAATGTTTAAATGTTATGGTTAAAACATTTTAATTCAAACTCATGTTAATTAATTGTTCTTTTTTTATTTTATACAATATGTTGCATTAATAATACAGCCGTCAACTCATGTTATCTTAATCAATATTTCATATTTTCTCTAAATTCACTTAATTCCTATCAATTTGAACTTTTGCTCATATAACCTTTTACAGATTTGGTAAAAAGTAAATTTAATCTATGAACTTTGAATATTTTATAAACAAATTTATTTTTCACCAACTCGAAAAGAAATCTTAACTTGATTGGAACATAAATAACTTTCTAAAAGAATTTCATTCCGTGTATCCCAGAAAGGCGATGCTTTGAAAAAAAAAAATCTCCTACATTTATGTTTATTAATGTCAAGTAGTGATTTAGATAAGTTTTAATAGCGACTGAATTTTTGTAAAAATAAAAAGAGTCAGTAGGACTGAAAGACAATTTAAAACTTCAAATTCTTCTTTTTCTGACACCTATAAATTTATAATAAATATGATGTTTCATTAATGATATGAGTATGACACAAATGTATACCTACTTATCATCATATTTAAAATAACTGAATTAAGCAGTTCTTTATTTTATTGTCGATACAATTTCTATGTCAATAATAAATCGTAAAACAATTTTAATACAATTCCTTTTAAAAAGTCACGAGGTCTAAGTACGGCTAAGAAGTCATAAACGTTACCAAAAGTTTGAGAAACACTGTCCTAATATATTTTTACTTAGTTCGAACACCAGTATCACAATGCTTAAATTTAAGATTTATTTTGTAATTATTTTTAAACTGTTGTACTTAATGTTATAATTTACATTGTTTTATAATTTAATTTATTAGTATATAATTCAGGAGAACGATTTTTTTATTTTAAATTAGTTATATATGTGTATAAATGTTGTGTTAGTTCGTACAATACATGGTTTTCTGTGATTTGATATTTAATAAATGTTTTATAATAGAAGTTCTAGTTCATTTATTTTGTACTTGTCCATAAACTTTTATTACTAAATTTCTCTATTCCGATTATCCTGATCAGAGGCCTATTTACGTCCCCACTCACGTAGTGGGGACATAAATAGGTACAGACCAGACATAGGTACAGACACCAAGGATAGAATAAGAAGAACGAGGCTTGACCCACCACATGGACCCAGTCCGGATTAGCTTGTGTTGACGATTGCAGATGTAGCCGGATTTATTTGCTAAAATAGGCACCAACCTATCAAAAATGTTTTGGTAGATACAGGTAATTTTTTCAAAATTTTAAAATGCAGCTCTGTACTTCAGAATATCTTAAAAAATTACCGTACAATTTTTACAAAATAGCGATGTAATTCGCAATAACGCTATCTAGGCGTCAAAATTAAAATAAGTTTCAATGGGTAATTACTTATGTAGAATACCTTAAACATACATTACACTCTGTCAAAAATGAAGTCAGTGTCATAAAGTTTCTAAAAGCGTCTCCTGAAAATTTGGAAAGATAACATTCGCAACATTCTTTTGTTAGACATGAGAAAACTAAAAAAAATACAACTTCGATAACGTAAGCTAAAGATGTTTACACCATAAATATCAGAATTGTCAACATAAAAGGCCAGATTAATATGATTTATAGTTTTTTTATGTTATTATGATATTAAATTAACAACATAACGATTATAAAATGACCGTTAGATATAACTAAAATGTCGCGGCGGCACTTCTACGAATGGTAACAGACAGCTGAACATAAGCGGTAGCGTATTTCGTCAAGTTATATAACTTATACAGGAATAAAGTTAATTATTTTTGTGACCTTTGTATGTGAAATGGATTATGACCAAAACAATCATCGTACACAAATAAACAGTAAATAAAAATAAGGAAAAGAAATTAATCTTCTGAATAAGATTGATTTTCTGTACAAAGAAATAGCGAGGTTACTTAAATATGATAATTATTTTTATCCTCGTAATTATAATGTTTTCTTTTGGTAAATAATTATAATATGAGTGTTATTTCGCGATAGCGAAGTTCAAATAAGAAAGATTTTTATAAAAATAGTAGGTACTTATGAATCTAATAATATTACAAAGAGGAAAAATTTTTTACTTTGTTTGTGGATAAGTATTTTCTAAGAAAATATTTTATTTTGTCAGAAAATACTTATCCGATCATGGAAATTCTGTCACCTACTTTTATAATAGTAATCCTAATAGTTTGCAAGTAATTAATTGAATTTGATGTGAGCAGCTGAAAGAAGGGAGAAAAAGAGAGAGAAAATTATCAATAAATAATCCTATTAAAATAATTCCAGGATTATTAATAAAAAATAATCCTGGAATTAATTTTAAATAGTGTTTTACCCGCAATACACCATTTGCCTGTCTGCAATATGGAAGTTAAGCTACTTTTGCAAGGGCTGGTCATAGGATGGGTGGTGTTTTTCTTGAAGCTTAGAATTGAGAAGAACCTTAAATTTTCTGATTGAAACTACAAGTGACGATCTCAGCAACTCGGAAAACATTCTTTTTTAATTTTTAATAAAATGAACTGTTCAATTATAATTTTAATTTATTTATTTTTTCACGGTAAATAAATCAAAATAAATCAGTTGTTTATTACGTTTTATAATTATTTTAGCTTCTTATTTAATAATCTACAAATAGTGCTTTAGTACGTGACATTATAACCACTACTTCCTATCTCTATCTTACTGGCAGACTTCGAAATTTAGTTGCATTTTAGCATAATTAGTATTTGTGAACCTTCACAGATCAGCCTTCGCAGAGCTCATCAGCGCAACAATCTTCATTCTTCGTGGATTAATCGTAGTGTATAATAAAAAACAAATTTAGTTAAAAAAACCGACTACATATTTTATTTTCATTAAAATGATTTTTGTTTGGAAAATATTTAGCATAGCTTCACGATAAAATTGATTTCAAAAGTAGCAGTTTCGTACAACCGCGCCTTAATCCGCTATCTCTTCCTCTCTTGCGTGGACCCGCTCGTGAATGGACGTGGGAATCTTATGCCTCTTGAAAACTCTTGTATTTTAGTGCTCACTTACAAGGAGACTTTATTAACATTCTATGTGAAAGGGTCCTAAAACGTCCAGAGTCCTTGACTAATTTACAGCTTCTTTATAACTATAATCGTTACTTTTAACGGTGTTTCTCGGTTGGTAAACTAGACTCAGCTTTGCTATTATATAAAAAATCAAATCGAATATGCTCGACGTCGAGTCAGATAGCATCACATACATTGCTCAGATTCCAAGATGAGATGCTAAAGCCTCCATAGGAGTATACTCAATAGGAGTATTTGAGACAACGAAGGTACCTCAACACCCAGACCCGAGACAATTTAAAAAAGCCCAAAGGCCCGAAAGTTTCCCAGAGAGTTTCCCAGTGTTGATAACATTTTTTTTACGTTACGTTATGTTTCAGATAAAATAATTTATTTCAGACAGACCAACAGAGAGACATCTTTGTAGCCGAGTGGCTCGCGTACTCACGGTGTCGCCATCTCCGAGGTCGCGGGTTCAATCTCATTCTGATCAATGTAGAAAATAAACCTTTCTACATTATCTAGGATTTGAGTATTGTGATACTTTCGTGATTTCAGATTAATGGAACTACTTTAGCTACATAATTTTTATGGGTAATTTTTTTTTTGGAAGTCTGAACATTGAAATAAAGCAAACTCCTAAGAGTATATTTTATTTATCCAACCGCTCTTCACCATAGAATCTCCCCACCCAGTGGCATGCCTTTTAACGGAAAATAACGAAAAATATAACTGTAATACAGTAATATAACTGTAATACAACTGTAATACAGTTATAACTGTAATATAACTGTAATCCAGTTATAACTGTAATAAAGTTATAACTGTAATACAGTTATATTTTTCTTATTCATTCCAGCTCTGAGATTGTGTAAAAATCCAAACCCGAATAGGAACTCACTCATGTGTCCGAATCCACTACAAACAGCGGCATCCGCTCAATCTTGAATTTCGTGGCATAAGTGAAGTGATTTTCCAAATGACATAGAATTGTATATCTGAGACACGTATATACAATCAATTATGTTTTGTATATTTATACAAAAAATGGAATCATTACAATTTGGACTCATGAGTGGATTTGAATTCGGGTTCGGATTTTTGCAGTTCCCGCTAGTGCTACCCTCCTACTTTCATTTCGCATACAACTCATTTATTCTTCGCCACCCAATTTACTCTATTTTTACTTTATTATTTATTACTAGACCAGTTAAACCTTCCATGAACTACTACCAACATTTCAAAACCGAAATCAGCAAAATCGGCCCAGCCGTTATCGAATTTAATTGAAACAAACAAACAGCAATTGATTTAAATATATCGATATGTGTATGCTTTCCAGCGTCGATATATACATAGATAGATTTTACTACTGGGGAACAGTTTTAGTATTACATGCGTATTAGTGGTATTATACGGGGGCACGGTGAAACTCCCGCCAAGAAGAGCAAAAAAGAAGAAACGGCACAACTGCACCATCCTTTTCTCGAAGCCATTCGGGCCGTATTTGTACCCATTTACTTCGTGTTAATTAAACAAAATCATTAAACTGTTGCAGAGAAAAACTCAGGGCATGCAAAATATGATATATCTGTACCTTTGAGAGGAAAAACGTGAAGATATTAAAGAGGCATGTGGTGGAAGTAAGTTCCTGATAGGAAGAAAGGTGTGGCGACAGATCTAATGGCTTCCAAGGCGACGCTCACATTCTCGCAGCAGGCCGACCAGTGACAACCAAGGAGAGTGTTATACATAAAATTATTTTAGAGTTTCTAAAAAATAATAGACGTATGTTAGAAATGGTTACCAATATAAGAAGTAGTAAACAAGAAGTACTTATTTTTATAAATTAAAACTGTATTCTATTTTTGCAAAATTAACTTGAGATTTATATTTGTGGATTTCAAGAACTGAAATGCGGAAACTGAACTGAAAATAGAATAATAAACTAACCAGTTTAAAGTCACAATTGCTTTCGGAATGAATGACGATTTGAATGATATAGAATGTCTAAGATAATTCATTTCTTTTTGTTTTTTAAAGTTATGAAATAATCTTTACGATTTCTTATGATTGTAATTAATTCTCCTATTTCGAATAAAGAATAAAAATATTTTATTCATATCAATAAAATATTAGAAATGATTTAACATTTCATACTTTTGATAAACACAATGTTTATTTCAACAAAAACAAACAAAACCATCGTACTAATAAAATGCGCCGTGCGCGTTTTTTTATGTCAGCTCATCTAGGGATGCATTGATACGATTAAATACAAGTATTTACTGGATACTTTTCTATCGTAACCAAGTACTTATGGCATCGATATTTTAAAACGGAGTAGTAAATAGTATCGTGAAGTAAGAATATAAATGTGTGTATCGGTATTTGGTCTGTTCACTCTTCCATCGTGAGTTGTTATCTAGTGGATGTGCTTTTTTAGTGCTTTCGTTTTTTTTTAAATACTTCCTCATTGATGCAAGTAGGTATCGATTCCTACGTGGTATCGTTCAATCCCTAAGTTCGTCATGTCATCAGCTGTGCATCATCTGTCAGAAAATTTGGAAAAACTTGGCATTTCATTTTAAGTTCGAAATATTTATTAATAGCTGTTTTTTTTTTCATTGTATGTAGAGTTCTAATAATAAATAATGTAATAGTAATGGAGAATTTTATTTACATCGTGTAGTTTTACTACCACAAAATTATTTAAATACCTTAAAGAAATTTGCAAATTTTGTGATAGTTAAAAAATAACCATTTTATGAAATAGTTGTAACTACAAGTAAGTTATAAATGCAAAATAAAAAAGTAAGTATTCTCAGTATTTTTGCCACCGTAACGAGTGATTATGTTATATCTACAATAATAATTATGAATTAACAAAACTTTCAAAAACATAATCAAAATATACATAAAATAATATAAAATTTGCATTTGCATTGATTGCAGTTAGTGTTCAACGCTTTCATTTGACATTACCCAATAGCTTTCAAAGGTTT